ATTTAACATCAAGGTGGTGTAAGATGGGGGTGCGAGGGAAAGGAGGAACCCCAGAATCTCTCTCTCAGAAGAGATTCACTGAGCTCCAAATCCAGAGAGTGCAAGGCGGGCTGCGACGGGACTGGACATGTCCCAAGGCATTAAGATCAATGTCCCAAGACATCAGTATGAATATAACCACATGGCAGGCAACCTCATCAAGATGGCAGCCCACTACTCCTGGGATAAAGGAGGCCCGATAGGTTTTTTTAGACCAACAGCAAAGCAGAAATGCCAGGGAGTCAGGTAGGGAGTATCCAAGCCAACAGCATCCCAAAACCACCCCTGCCTAAAAGTACCCAATTAATTTTGGCAAGCTAGATAAGTAAGGAAATTTAAAAAAAAATCACACATATACTGACTGAAGAAAAGATGATCACAAGACAATTTGTTGGGACTCTCAGAATAAAAAACCTCAAATATCAGCAGGACAGTAAAAATAAGAAAGCAGCAGGCAGAGACAGAGGATTTAGATAATGTTATTCGCACAGTGGGTTGTCAGTTTGACAAACATCTGACTAAGGGCAGAAGTAAAAGAACCAGCAGAGCCCTGGTGGGGAAGTGTGACAATGTAGAAATGTTTCAAGAACAATATGTTCCCTCAATTAGAGGAATCTATGGAAGTTATTGATGCAGGTAGATAAAGCGAACTGACTTTCCTTTCTCCCATATCCTTTTTCGTGCATTGGAAGTATAATAGTTGTGTGTGTGCACGAGTGAGCGAGTAAGAGAGAGGTTTACGTTGTGACTCTAGTACACACAACCCTGGGAACTCTGCATTACGTTGTTAGCAGGGGAGTGTGTATCTTGGCCTCTGACTACACTGAAAGAGAGAGAAACTCAGTCCTTTAAACCAGCACATGGGCCTAGGCTTGAACGGACATTGGTAAAAGTCATCTTTTGAGCCGGCCTCAGAGATAATGCTCAAGGGCAACCAGCACGGTTTCATTAGGGGCAGGTCATGTCAGACCAACCTGATTGCCTTTTATGATCGGGTCACAAAAGCCTTGGATGCCGGTGTTGCTGTGGATGTAGTCTTTCTGGACTTCAGCGAGGCCTTTGACACCGTCTCCCACCCCA